AATTTAATTTTTACTGTTTACATTATTTACATTGTTTATACTGTTGTCCTCATCTTTATTGCCATATTCACAACATTTCAGCCATTGTACGCTCCGGCCTTCTTCAGGCCCAATGGATAAAAGCATTGGTTGGATCCAGTGACTGCAATAACTGGCTACTGCAGTGGTGAACAAAAACTTGGAGAGTTGAGTTAAAGGGAGATAAGAGACATCTGGAAGAGGCATGGCATGTGGAACTAGAACATTGTACCTTGGTGGATGAAATAAAGGGTTCAATTCAAAATTCCAATCACCTGATAAAGGCTAGAGCATACAACAGCAGAAATTTTGTGAATATGGCAATAAAGATGAGGACAACAGTCCAAAGTAAATAAGGTAAATAATTCACAATACCTCATCTCAGAAATATAGACAGTTACTTTTACTGGTGATAAAATCTGTGGAACTTCCTAAATTGGTAAATACGTGTTCTTCTTAATTGAAAGTTACATCAAAGAAAGCTTTTATAAAAGCAACAAAGATAAGAATGCTTCTTGGAAAAAAAAAAAAAAAATTGTCTTAGAAATCTTTCCCAGTAATGATAGGAAGCGTCTATTCATTTTGAAATCAAATACCTACTTTGTAGGCTGTTCTTGGCATACTGATCTTGCAAGTTATTGGAATATATTACTCGGGCATTGGAATACAGAACTCCAAAAGATATGGGAAATTTATATTTCAATACCAGTCAGAAATCACAAAAAATTATTAGAAATGTTGAAAGGCTGAATTTAAAAAAAAAAAAAAAAATTGAAACAAAACTTTTGCTGGTTGGTTGTTATGGTAATTTATTCATGTACACATTGACTCTCTCAGCTATAAATAGGAGCAGATACTGCCTTTTGCAGTGGGAAGTTTCCAGCAGTCAGCTCTGACAGTCGGACCGAACATTCTTGATGTAACACTCTGGTTTGTATTACTGTTTCTGTTAATATATTTAACTCCATTCCTCTCTTGTGTCTTTATTTCTGGCCCTAACAAGGCCACAACATTGTTTATATATATATATATATATATATATATATATATATATATATATATATATATATATATATATATATATGGTGGACTCTCCTGTCATATTCGGCGTGCATGAGGGTCAAGCAACTCAATTCCTAGGAACTGACAGCCCAGAAACCAGCACATAGGATTTGATTATAGTGGTGAAGGTTTTGTGCAGAACCAATCACACTTTTTGAAGGACCGAATTGCAAAATAAAGGGTTTTGCATTTGGCACGATCACTTGATAAGACATCAGAAGTGTTGAAACAAAATTTCAATGTTTGTACTGAGGTTATAATATGTATGTATATATTCAGGTGTCTTATCAAGTGTTGGTATTGATTGCAAAAAACCTTTTATTTTGCAATCGACACTATCACTTAATAGGGTTGAAAAAAAAATTGCAATTTTTGTAGTGATGTTATATCATGCATAATAATAATTTTGAAATATATATATATATATATATATATTTAGTTGGATTGATGTGAGTTTGTTGGTGGTGGGCACATGGGTTGAGCGTCAGGAAAAGAGAACAGATGAAGTTGTGGCTAACGATTTCAATCTGTAATCTTGCCCGACCTGTGATAATCAACACAGGTTAAGTGAAGGATCTGTGTTTGGTTCTCATTCAACATTCACACAGTACAAACTCACATCAATCTCTGTCTCTCTCACACACACACACACACACACACATATATATATATATATATATATATATATATATATGTGTGTGTGAAAATATATAGAAAATAGGAAGGAACTGGTTAGGTAAATAATCCAAAGTCCCTTAGTATTTTAGTTATTATTTTTTAAAAAATGCTTTCGATACAAAAGTAGAGCATAAATATAATTATTTATTTAAAAATATGATTCCGAATCGCTACATAAGAGGTCTCATGTTTCAAAACAAGAGCCAAAACTTCAATATAATCCTTTAAATTAAATTGAGTTGAAAGTAAAATGGGCTCCGTTCCATCTTCAAGCGAAATTTTGTTGGAATAACGATATCTGAAATTTACTTGTTTTAAAATTGAAATCAAAATCCCTATGGTAACAGCTATGGTGAATTGTCTAAATTGGGTAGGCGAGTGTAGGGTGTTTATAATAAGTAGCGGTATAGAGATACTTTCAAGGTGTCAAGTCGGGGAAAGGTGGGGGTGTCAAAAATGAAACGGAAGATAAACGGAATTGCACCCTTATACAGTTCGATATCGTGGACTACTACCCATCAATTTCGAAGGATTTATTTATGACTGCCCTGGACTTTGCTGCTGTGTATTCTAACCTAACAAAGGATGAAACGGATATAATCCTCAGCGCAAAGAAATCGATCCTCGTTCACAATGGGGACCAATGGATAAAAAACAATAACGACCTGTTTGACATCACTATGGGATCATTAGACTCTGCAGAGTCTTCTGACCTTGTTGGTCTCCTAATACTGTACAATTTAACGGCACACTGCGAAATTGATGTTAAGGACATCGGGCTGTATAGAGATGACGGGCTCATGGTGGTGAGGAGTTCTACTAGTTTTAAGATTGAAAAAATCAGAAAAATTATATTTAGTGAATTTAAGAAACTAAACTTAAAGATAACTGTCTCTTCTAATTTGAAAAGGGTTAACTTCCTCGATGTAACTCTAGACTTACCAGGCAACACATACCAACCGCTACTTATTATAAACACCCTACACTCGCCTACCCAATTTAGACAATTCACCATAGCTGTTACCATAGGGATTTTGATTTCAATTTTAAAACAAGTAAATTTCAGATATACGTTATTCCAACAAAAATTTCGCTTGAAGATGGAACGGAGCCCATTTTACTTTCAACTCAATTTAATTTAAAGGATTATATTGAAGTTTTCGGCTCTTGTTTTGAAACATGAGACCTCTTATGTAGCGATTTGGAATCATATTTTTTAAATATATATATATATATATATATATATATATATATATATATATATAAAAAAATGTAAATCTATTTAAACTTCGGTGGATGAAAAAACCTGGATAGCACAATTTTCAAATAAATTGGCATCTGAGGAATAATGGGGGGGGAAAAACGAAAAAACCAGAAACCTCCAAACAGGGCAAAAGAAATCCTCCAGTAACTTAAATCTCTGGTATAATGAAAGAAAAAACCCAGCATGTAATAGGTTAAAACAAAGAGTGATCATTACATTAAGAGCAAAATATATATATATATATATATATATATATATACATACATACACACACACACAAAATGGATGCAGGTTCGAATTTTGCTGTAGAGCACATTTTCTTAAGTTTTCTCTAGTTTGCTTACGACATCCACCATTTTCCAATGTTTAAAAAGTGGGGAGTCTACTTCAAACGTGGGTAATAAAAATGTATTAATTTTGATGTCTGTATGGATTCAGAAGAATTGATGGATTTTAGTTTTTAATCTGACATTTTTATTACTTCAAACATTGATTTTTAGTGGAAACTGTTATTGAGTAGAAAATATTGGTCTGTATATAGTAATTTACTAATTGTAGCTTAGATGAGGCACAAGGCTAAAAGTATGGCATAACCAGTGAGGATCAAACTTACTACTTCTAATTGATTTAGCAAAACAAGCTTGCTAATCATTACACCCTGTTAAAGTGCTTAAGGAGTGTGTTTGTTTGTTTATATATATATATATATATATATATTGCTTATTGGAAAGCACTCAATATCAGTGATAGAGCTAACATTTAGTTGAATGGATATGAGTTTGTAACGCTGGATTTCATGCTTCATCCTCATTCTGTGTGTGTATATATATATATATATATACACACTAGGTTGTATATTAATATTTTTTGTTTTATTATTCGTTAGTTTCCTTGACTCATTTCAACCAGTTTGGCCATCATCAGGAGAAAAAAAAATCCCTGCTTGTTAGTTGCAGTGAACTACAGGAGTGAATGACTGTCTCTGAAGAAAGTGAACTTTATCTGTAGTTTTCATTTGTTTTTTTATCGTTAATTTTGGTCAGTTCATGTATTGGTTAAATGGCACCTTTCAAGTTGTTTTTGAAATAGAGGCCAGGAGATTCTGGAGTCTCAGAATTCACTGCTTGTTCATTTCAACAGTTTTATTGGTTGCAATTGGTGAAGGATATGTATATTTATTTATATATACTTAATAGCTCTGTTGTATTATATAAAGCAATGTTTTATTAACACCAACATGATATGTGTGATATATTATAATCTTTAATGAAATACACTCGCACTACATTTTATATATGTGAATATTTGTATAGAAAAAGTATAATTGAATTTGTTTGCTACCGAAGCTGCATTTTTATCAGGTCGCAATGAATGAGAATAAAGAAGTATTATATAATGGTTGTTTTGTTGTGTTTTATTGAGTAACTTTAGACTTAAGAGAGAAGACGAAAGTCAAAGAAAAAAATTACGGTTAAGAGCTTAATACAAATGATTAAAAAGTCTTTTCATCTTTCTGGTGATAAATGCTTTTTCTTTCTTTCTTTCTTTCTTTCTCAGGCAAAAACATTGCAAAATAAATTCTCTATACTTCCAATCAAATAAATGATAATTTCAGAAAGAAATCTTTTAATTTCCACTGAGATAATCTTCGTCTTTTTTTTTTTTTTTTTTTTTTTTTTTTGTTGATTCAATAGCACTTTTATACAAGACAGGAATCAATAATTCCATCAAAGCTTGGCTTATTTCTTTCCAAAGTTACCCCTTCTGCATTCAGATTGTGATAGTTGCACCACTGTTATTTCGGTAGCAATTGTTAGTTGTGTATGTTTATATTTAGTATGTATGACTTACTAGTATTTTGGGCTTCTAAGGGAGCTGACTCATGTGCTGCATATTATTAGTATTTGACTAGTGTTGCTATTACTACTCTGCTTGATGTTGCTTACGGGAGCAGTGTTACTAGCACAGATGGTCTCAAATGTATAGATTGATATCGAATTTAGTACCACATGTTGTTAGTCTTCCTCTCATCTATTTTATTTGCAGAGTTGGTTACCAAAACCCTGTAATTGCTATCAGTACTATTATTGTCATCTGGTAACTCTGCTCAGTTTTGAAGGTGTTCCACTTGGTAGATTACTTTACTATGTTGCCAACTGATGCTAGTCTGGTGACAGTGTCACAGCTGTGGGTGTGTAGGTCGTACCTTGAGCTGGTGCATTGCTTATAATTATTTAGATTGAACAATTTAATGAGATTGGAATTATATATAGCTTAACATTCCTTTTGTGTAGTTGACAAAGGGCAGAGAGTCAACAAATTAGTGTCGTTTTGGTGAGAGTATGACTTTTAAGGGAAAGAATTGTGATTAAATCTTGATGCAAATGCCTTTAAAAATCAGTCAATGTTGTCTTGAAATGTTTGCTCTGAAAGATAACTTACTGGATATTTTGTTATATTTTTACATTTCTTTCATTAAAAAAGAAAAAAAACAGCCTGATCATCAATATATTATTATTGGATAACCTATTGATTTACCTTTAGATTAGGTTTAAACTCACTGCAGTAGTAATGGTTTGTGAGACTTGCTTGCTAACGAATCCTGTATGGTGGTATGCTCATTATGAGATTTGCTTCACTTAAGATGAATGATACAAGACTGCAAGTTTGGAGTGCGGGGTACCCAGTAAATATTAAACTCACTTCATAGGGTTTAAATTCGGTTTTATATTAAATGATCATGAAGTAGATAGCATGAACCAGAATTTAAAAAAAAGGTGACAAAATTAGAATTTCTATTCTATGTTCTTTAGAGCCTGGTTAACAAACAGCACTTTAGTGATTAGATCACAGAGACCCACCAGCAGGAAAATTCAAATTTAGTCAATTACACAAAAAATAATTTAATGTCAGCTTTTTTTTCTTTAGAGTTTTCATCATCATTTTTTTTTTTTTTTTTTTTTTTGGTCATTTTATTTTTTTCTTGACATTTTCTTCACCTTTGTTTCTTAGCGTTTTTTTCCTTCTTTTTTGTCCCATTTTTTTCTTGTTCTTCTCGTCCCATTCGTTTTTTTGTTCCTCGTCCCATTGGCGTTTTCTTGTTCTCTCTCGTCCCCATTGGCGTTTTTCTTGTTCTCTCTCGTCCCATTGGCGTTTTCTTGTTCTCTCTCGTCCCCATTGGCGTTTTCTTGTTCTCTCTCTCGTCCCCATTGGCGTTTTCTTGTTCTCTCTCGTCCCATTGGCGTTTTCTTGTTCTCTCTCGTCCCATTGGCGTTTTCTTGTTCTCTCTCGTCCCATTGGCGTTTTCTTGTTCTCTCTCGTCCCATTGGCGTTTTCTTGTTCTCTCTCGTCCCATTAGGCGTTTTTTGTTCTCTCTCGTCCCATTGGCGTTTTCTTGTTCTCTCTCGTCCCATTGGCGTTTTCTTGTTCTCTCTCGTCCCATTGGTATCTTAATTTTATTTCTTTTCATGTCTTTGTATAGTACCCGTCAAAATAGAGCATATGTGTGTGTTTTTTTTTTTTTTCTTTCAATTAACTATTGTTTCATGTTAATTTACAATCTGTGAGAATTCTGTTTTTGTGTAATTAAAAGTAAAAAATATCCAAAGTACGTTACCATGAAACAAAGAAAAAAGCAATGTATTACGAAGCTTGTTGTTATACTATAGAGTGAGGTCAGAATAGATTGAGTCATGTTGACATAAATACAAAATCTCAATCAAAGCTCAGAAATGTCACCAATGATTATAAAACATTGTTGGATTTTATGTTATACAATATTTATTTTTTGAGTTTGTGAACAAAATATTTATTTTCTTAAACTGTAATAACAGTAATTATGTCTTCAGTACAAATATTCCAGTTTCTGGAAATCTTCCCAATAAAAGAACAAAACTTGAAATTCTACCAAAAATCAGAGACTTCAAAAGAAAATGTTTTGTTTATATAATCTTTCATTGCTAACAAAAACATTACAGTAAACGTAAAATTTCAACTTCTTCTTTAGAAGGTCAACATAAAGACTTGGTAAACATTTCTTAAATATAAAGACATTCTCTTGAAATCTCTTGTTAGGTTTAAATTTTCATTCCTCACAAAATAAATCTGCTGGTACATTTTAACAGTGATACTTTTGTTGTTGTTACTGTTGTTGTTTTTGTTTGTTTTTTTGTTTAATCTTTTTGAATAATTTGTACAGAACATTTTGTTTTCAAAGTAAAGACTTCTTTTAGTAATTTATGTATCCAATTATACAGATAATTTCTTTCTAACAATACCAAATATAGGGATACAGTTACGCCAAGACAATTCTTTTTCTTCTTTTTTTTTTTTTTTTAGGTTAAAATAGTCATTTACAAATATTTATGTGTTACAAACCCCTCCCCCAAAAAAAAAAGATAGATTAATAATTTAGGCAGATTTAAGCTGGTGATTTGTCTCTAAGTTTGAACTCTTGCCACATATGAAGAATCCAATACAACATAATAAGAGTAGAGAGGTTCCCCTATTGCCTGGTTCACACTCTTTTACACAACATTTCAGCTGTTGTGCTCTCTGGCCTTCATCCAGATGTATGTCAATCTGGATGAACCACCTGATTGAGAACACCTGGACAAGAGACTAATAACATTGCTGTTGGTGCTAAGGAAGTGGATCAAGGGGATATTTTAAATAAATGATCTAATATCTTTTACCATTTGTCAGCTGATGCTTGGGAACAAAATGTTTGAAAAAACGAAGGATGTGGTTCTGTAGAAGAATTTTGAGAGCACTACTTAATAAGCTTCTGTAAATTGGATGGCAGAACAAGGAGTGTAGAGGATAGTAAAAAGACAAACACTGATAAAAGCTACAATGGACAGGAAGATGTGGAGAGCCATAATCGCCCACTTTCTAAAGGGATATGCCACATTGATGATGTTCAGCGAAGACTGGAACATTTGCTTCACTCAAGTTTTCAAATTTTCCTGTAATGGAGGTACCTCCAGAAATTTTACTTTCTGCTGTTTCGATTAAATGCAGAATGGATCCAAGCACTTACGGATTCAGGTAATACTTAGAGCTTTCTCTGCTGATCCCTTGTTTAGAGGCGACATTTGTATATAAATCCAGTTTCTGATACCGTTGGATGTGTGCACATAGCTTAAGGGTCATTGGCAGAAAGTGAGATTGGGGATCCGAGTTCAAATTCTGGTTAAAAAGAATAAAGCATTCACTTTTGCACAAATATCCTTGGGGAGAATAAGTATGACTCCAACTTTTCTCCCTCAAGCCATGGGTTAAATAACAGGGTAGACTGGACTCTAGTCTTGGTTAGCAACCAATCTAACAGAAGGAAAACCTTGAATTCAGGAATTTAATGCAAGAGGAAATCACACCACTATTTTTTGCCAAGAATAGATGTTAATTTACAGATAATGAAGCTGTGGAGAGTTATGATCACCTACATTCTTAAGGTAAGCATTTAAAGATAACTGTAAAAGGTATCCGTTTTGTTGAGCTCCGAGACTTCTGGTTAATGTCTGAAGGCGATGCTCTCTATGTTGCCTGATTTATATGCTGATATTCTTGGAGAGCATCTGTATAAGTTTTGGTAGGGAGAAGCCTCCATTAAATGTGTGTAGATCTTAACTTTTCTCTCCTTAACTTTTTGCTAATCTTACCAATGATTGTACCCCCGTTAGCTAAGGAAATATAGTTTGTTAGATAAGCACTTTATTGCAACTGAAATAAAGAGCCTTCTTGCAGGAGAGATAATTGAATTTAGCACTTCCTCTTGATGAGCTCAAGTTGTAGTAATCACTAATGAGTTGCAATAATGGTAGTTGATTACTCTTGGTTTGTGAACCATTTTGAACTGTTAGATGCTTACCCAATACTGAAGATTGATGAACTAGCAAACACTCGGGCACATTATCGATTCTTTATTTCAATTTCAGACTTGAAATCTTCCTATCATCATCATAAATTTCCCATACTTGCCGTACATTGTTTTTCAGGTTAGCTAGATTCGTTTTGCCAGATTTTATTTGAGGTAACAAATGGAGTTACTTTCTTTTAGCTCATTAGAGACAAATTCATCATGAAAACTATGTTTTTGCTTACCTGGATAACACAATTCCTATGGGGAAGTGTCATTGGATCTTCCCCTATGGGAAACCATCATCAGGCATGTCAGATCCAATGATGGTTCGCCATAGGGGATGCAGGTTCGAATCCTACTGGAGGATGTATGTTTTTCTGACAATATTTCTCAAATGTTTAGGCTGGCAGACGTAGTTGGATAAAAAATACTGTTTATTACAAAATTTATTAACAGTTAATAAGGATAGGAAATTACGGAGAGCCTTGATTGCCTATATCCTCAAGGGACACTGCACATACAAGTAGAAGAATCAAGTGGATGCTTTTTCCTTGTCCTCATCTAGAGCTGTCCTTTTTGAGATGTCATATCAGACAAAGTACAACCCAATTGTTGAAGAAAAACTCTCCTTGAAGCAACCAGTCTTCTATATAATAAATGTGAATGTCAGTGTGTCACACTTTGTCAATTTTACTCCAAGAGGCTGTAGACCAACATATCATACCATTTGGGAATCAGGCTCTGTGAACAAATTAAAAACATTCCAGGCTTGATCTGGACCTGCAATCCTGAAATTTTGGATTGGTGACTTTTTTTCTTTTTTTTCTTTTTTTTATGTACAATAACAATTTTTATTACTTGGAAATAAATTTGAGAATAATTGAAATTAATTGCAAAATCCAGCAAAAGTTAACAATGAAATAAATATTGTCTTTAAATTAAGTGGCAGCAGAAGAATTATTGTTGAACTTTTAAAAGGTAAACTTAAACATTAATTCAATACTTAAATGCAGCATTCAGTTTTGAGTTCTTCTATAGTTTATTGTTGCCTATTGCATCTACTCCTCTCTACCTATTGTGATGAAGGCTCAAGCAAGAGTCCTCCGCAGGAGCTAGCTTAAATGCCACCCATATTTGTTTTCAAGATGGCAAAATGGTGTCATTCTAAGATTTTAACTCCCTTATGAAATGTCCTATGTGAAACAGATTGCACAACCCTAACTTGCCTGATTAACCTAAGGTTAGAAATGGCGTCATGACACTTTCCACTGACAAAAAAAAAAATTACATAGATAAATCCCTTCGTAAGGTGTGGGCTGTACTTGTAAGAACAATTTTTTGTATCTCCTTGAGGCATGGACTTCCAGGAATCCCTTCAATTAGTCTACTGCAATCTTTTCCAACCAGTCCTAGGGCTCCAACTACAACAGGGATTGTTGATTTTCCCATATGCCACATTTTCGAGATTTCTATTTCAAGGTCCTTGTACTTTGACAACTTTTTGAATATCTTCAAAGATACATTGCAGTCAGCAGGGACTGCCATATCAATAAGGAGGCACCGTTTTTGTTTGTGGTCTTTAATAACAATATCTGGACAGTTGGCTTTGATTGTTCTGTCAGTGTGTATTGTGTAGTCCCATAGAATTGTAATAGGTCCTATCTCCGTAAATCGGTCTGGGTGGTGTTCATACCAGTTTCTTTCAGTTTCCTTCCCGAGAAGTTGCAGATTTTCCAATGCAGATATTGGCCCACTCTGTCATATCGGGTTTTATATTCAGTGGGTGCCAACACCGCACAACCTGATACAAGATGATCAATCGTTTCTGGATATTTATCACAGAATCTGCATTTTGGGCTGACACGATATTTTAGTATATGTGCTTGATAATTCCTAGTTAGCAAGCATTGGTCCCTGCAGCAAGGATAAAACCTTCAGTTTCCGCTTTCAACCCTGCACTACATAGCCACTGATGGGTATGGGTTTTGTCTACGTCAGCATGTTTGGTACGGGCAGAATATTGGCCATGAAGCGGTTTATCTTGTCATCGCTTCTGTAACTGGTTGGTTGCATTCGTCTTTGCTGTCTTTTTTAGGTATTTTGCAGTTTCAGCCGGTGTATTGTGCTGTAGTTGCATCTCTATGCCCATTTGAAACTCCATTTTGAATTTGTTGGCTTCTTTATTACGGAGTAAAGACGCTTACTACTTTCATGTTCCTTGACGCATACCATCATCCAGTCTTCTGTAGTTTCCAAATATCTTTGGAGGCCAATTGTTGTAGTTTTGTAGGACAGTTCTAGTTGAACTAATCCTCTGCCTCCTTCGGATCTGGGTACATACAGACGATCGACATCAGCTTTGGGATGATGCATGCGATAGCAAGTGAGAAGCTTTCTCGTTTTATATCCATTCGCTTAATTTCAGCTATGGTCCAGTTAAGGACATTAAAGCTGTATTGCACCAAAGGGACAGCCAATGTGTTTATGGCTGATATCCTGTTTTTTGAGCTTAGCTCAGTATTTAGTACCAGATGTACACGCCTGTAGTACTCTTTTCTTATTTTTTCCTTCTTTTGGGGGGGGTTGTATG